CTGAGTGAAATATCTCAGTCACAAAAGGACAAATACTATATGGTGCCACTGTTGTAGAATGAGGCTGACATCAGGGTGGGGGTAAGACTAAGAAAAACTGGATAAGTTATGTTTACTGCATTGAAGCCGATGAGGGAGAGAATATTTTAAAGTAATATATTTTAGGGCATTACGATTATCATAAGAGTCCGGAATGAGAGTTGCAGAGTGGAGCATACTCGGGGTGGGGTTGGGGGTGGGGGTGTGCGTGTGGATTGTGTACCAATAAAGGAGGTTTTCTTTTGCTTTTCAAGGAGAGGAGCGAACTGGGGGTCGGGGGTTGGTGGGGGTACTGGGGAGAAAAGTGCAACAATGAATGAATGGAAGTCCAAAATATCTGTAGATGTTCATTAAAATTAATAAAAAAAAAGTAAAAAAAAAAAGGCTATCAGAACAAAATGGCTTCTCTGACGCTAACATATAATGTGGCTTCTCTAATGCTTTGTATTTAAGCTGTTACTACAGTTTCACCCTCTCCAAGACAAATCTACTTGTTCTCCTGGTTGTCCATTGTATGTTCAATACTCTTTGCCAGCACCACAAATCAAAGGCATCAATTCTTCTGTCATCCTTAATCATTGTCCAGTTCTCTGATGCATAGTAAATATTTGTAAAGACCATGGCCTGGATCAGGCACACCTTAGTCTCTAGACTGACATCATTGCTCCTCAGTACTCCAGACAGGTCCCTGACAACAGACTTAACCCAGTGCAATGTGTCTTTTGATTTGCTGCCTGCTGGCGCCAAGAGTGTTGATTTTGGAGACAAGTAAACTGAAATTGTTAACAACATCAATCTCTTCTCCATCCATCATGAAGCTGCCAATTGGCCTGGTGGTGAGAATCTTTGTCTTCTTGATGTTGAGCTTCAATCCCTATTGTGGACTTCATATGTGTAGACGATGTCTATGTTGTTGAAATAAGGTGAATGAGTTGCTGGTCTTAGTGTACGCAGCATGCAAACAGGATGGGGGTGGCAGTCTGACTGACACTAACTAACTCCACAAAGGGGAAAGGGGAAGGATGATCATTGAAGTCACCAACCAGTTCCTTCATTCAGATATGCCTGCAGGCTGCCCCGCCTTTTTTTTTTTATTAATTCATTCAACAGTCCCTCCCACAGGTTTCCAGTCTCCCACTTGTATACCACAGAGCACTGACTCATAACTGACCTTCCACTGGATTTTCAGAGGCAGTAAACTGCATACGAGATTACCCATCTTTCTGCAGTGGAGAGTCAAACCTTGTATCTTTGGGATTGCAGCACAGCTTCTTACCATAGGCTACCAGACTTCCTAATCTACTTGTTGTTAGGTTCCCTCAAGTCACATATGACTCATAGCCATCATATGAACAACAGATCTGAACTCTGTCCTATCCTGTGCCATCCTCACAATCTCTGACACACTCAAGCCCATTCCTGCAGTCACTGTGTGTTTTACTCATTGTCCAGCTCTCAGATGTATACCAAGTGATTGAAAAGCCCATGGCCTGAATCTGGCACACCTTATTCCTCAAACTAACATCATTGTTGTAATGGAGCGAGTCCCCAAAAAGATCACTGAGCCAATTAGCTGAATTAACAAAGTTTTATTTCGAGTTTGAACCCGGGCTCCTGCGTGCTGACATTGCAGCATCCACCCGAGAGCCCCGAATTGATGTCTGCCCCTCCTTTTATACCTCTGTTACTCCCCTGCCCAACCATACACGCCATGATTGACCATCCATAATAGTCTGGGTATTTGTCCACCTTCAATTGGCTAGCCATAGCTCAGGGTAACAGTTTGGAAACCTATTTGAATCTTATAGGTTACTTCAGATACAGGAATGCAGAAAACTCCTTGTGCTCTTACAGAAAAGAAGAATTCCACTTTATGGCAGTTGATCCATCAGGGTGGGATTTACCACAGGTGGGGGTTGTTTGTTTGTTAAAAAACCACTCAAGCAGGTGGGGTTAACTGTGCTTTACCAGAAACTGAGTTTCTGATAACTGGTCCTTTCAATTGTGCCTCAACAATTTGGAGCGGTCCTTAACTGCAGACTTGTTGTTGTTGATTGCTGCTGAGCTGAGCATGACTCATAGCGACCCTATGAACAAAAGGCCTGAAGCCTTTCTATAATTATCATCGTTTCTCCAAGTTCATATAGTTTCCAGAGGCACATGGTTTAGGAAATGGATGCCACTTAGCCAGCACAATATGTCTCTTGATTTCCTGACTACGGGTACCAAGGATGTTAATTGTGGATCTGAGTAGGATGAAGTTGTAGACAGTTTCAATCTTCTCTTCACCATGATGTTGCCCATAGGTCCAGTGGTAAGAATCTCCAGACTGTTCCACCAAGTGTATTGATAAATCACTGCAATGGTCTCATAAGCAATACTCAAGATTATGGGTTTATTTGGGAAGTAACATGTTACAATTCAGGTCAGAAGCACCCAGGTTACAATCAAAACACATGAGTTTGCTTTCACAGGGAGCATCCCTGTGACCTTTGTTCTTGTCTCCAGGCTTGGCCCTTGCTGTAATAGGGAAGTATCTGGACGTATCCTATCATATTGTATGCACAAGTCTTTTAGTTCCACCTACAAGGAATATTGTTACTAAGAACCTGTAGCTGACCCTCCAGCTGATTTTCAGTCAGTAAATCATTTGGGAGGAGACTGCCCTTCTTTCTTGAGGTGAAGCAGCAGGTGAGTTCCAACCACAGTAGGTGGGTTGTAACCATGTGCTTTTGATTGACTGTGTGATTCCTACCAGTAGGCTACCAGAGCTCCCTTCAAGGAATATTGGTTATTAAAATTTAACACCCTTAAGAGGCCATAACTGACATCCAAGCAGATATATTCACACCCATGTTTATTGCAGCTTTGTTCACAATAGCAAGGAGTTGGAAACA